ACTCAATATTAAAAAATGTTTATATTTACATTTCAATTTGTATTTTCAGTTTATTCAGTTTTTCAAAATCCTTTTTTAGCTTTGTGACGAACGCATGGCTCAAATGAAAATGAGAGAGAATGCTGCTTAATACATCTCATAAAACATCTTTATAGAACTGCTCAAACTATTATTTGAACATGTTTTTTTTGGAGGGGAATAAAAGTAAAAAATCATGCACAACCATTTTGTTTTAACCACAATTTCAAAACCTAGAAAGAAACCAATATTAGTAACAAAATCTTTTTCTTTTTTTTTTATTAAAAATCAAACACACATGGGACAACACAAAGGGGAATATTTTCAAAAGAAAAGCTCTGTTCAATTTTAAAAAAATGTTAAAGAAAGTTTAATTTTTAAAGAGAATTTTCATTACTTTAACAGAGCTTTTAACTTGGTTTTGTTTTCAAATAAAACACACAAAATTATATTGATTACAATTGTTCCATTTTAGCATATTTAAACTGGATTTTTTTATTATAATTATTTTAAGATCTTAAATATTTGTTGAACCTACATATTATATTATTAATTATTAATAAATTGTTAATATTACATAAGACTACTTAAATGTTTAAATTTTTAATAAATATATGTTTAAGGACTAAATATGTGTAGTTATTTATATACAAATAGTTTGTTTTATATTATTAATAGTTATTTAATAATAATATTTAAAAATGGTGTTTTTATAACGTCTTTTATAATTTAAGAAAAATTAAAAATTTTGGTAACATACTGAGCTAATGTTTAGTGTTTAAGTTTTTTTAATTATTATTTCTATTTTAATTGTAATATTGTATGGGATTTAAATTAAATATTAATTTTTTTTTTTTTCAAAACATGGAATTAACGCAATTCTTTGATGTTTTTATATTATTGGTATTAACACTTTCTATCTGTTTTAAAAGTTTGATTATAATTGCTTGGTTTAACTACTTATTCGATTAAAAATTTTATCTCTTAAGCGAATGATTCCGATCGATTTTCCACAGATTTTCTCAACTTTCTCACTTTTCAAACTAACATAGGGTTTTTGTTTCATAATTAGAACAGAACAGAACTAGAACAGAACTAGAACAACTAGAACTGAACTAGAACAGAACTAGAACAAAACTAGAATAAACTAAAACTGAACAGAACTAGAACCAGACTAGAACAGAACTAAAACAGAACTTGAATAGAACTAGAACAAAACTAGAACAGAACTAGAACAGAACTAGAACAGAATTAGAACAGAACTAGAACAGAACTAGAACAGAACTAGAATAGAACTAGAACAGAACTAGAACAGAACTAGAACAGAACTAGAACTGAACTAGAACAGAACTAGAACAGAACTAGAACAGAACTAGAACAGAACTAGAACATAACTAGAACATAACTAGAACAGAACTAAAACAGAACTAGAACAAAACTAGAACAGAACTAGAACAGAACTAGAACAGAACTAGAACAGAACTAGAACAGAACTAGAACAGAACTAGAACAGAACTAGAACAGAACTAGAACAGAACTAGAACAGAATTAGAACAGAACAGAACTAGAACAGAACTAAAACAGAACTAGAACAGAACTAGAACAGAACTAGAACAGAACTAGAACAGAACTAGAACAGAACTAGAACAGAACTAGAACAGAACTAGAACAGAACTAGAACAGAACTAGAACAGAACTAGAACAGAACTAGAACAGAACTAGAAAAGAACTAGAACAGTACTAGAACAAAACTAGAACAGAACTAGAACAGAACTAGAAAAGAACTAGAACTGTACTAGAACAAAACTAGAACTGAACTAGAACTGAACTAGAATAAACTAAAACTGAACTAGAACTGAACTGGAACTGAACTAGAACTGAACTAGGACTGAACTAGAACTGAATTAGAACTGAACTAGAACTGAACTAGAACTGAACTAGAACTGAACTAGAACTAAACTAGAACTGAACTAGAACTGAAGTAGAACTGAACTAGAACTAGAACTGAACTAGAACTGAACTAGAACTGAACTAGAACTGAACTAGAACTGAACTAGAACTGAACTAGAACTGAACTAAAACAGAACTAGAACAGAACTAGAACAGAACTAGAACAGAACTAGAACAGAACTAGAACAGAACTAGAACAGAACGAGAACAGAACTAGAACAGAACTAGAACAGAACTAGAACAGAACTAGAACAGAACGAGAACAGAACTAGAACAGAACTAGAACAGAACTAGAACAGAACTAGAACAGAACTAGAACAGAACTAGAACAGAACTAGAACAGAATTAGAACAGAACTATAACAGAACTATAACAGAACTAGAACAGAACTAGAACAGAACTAGAACAGAACTAGAACAGAACTAGAACAGAACTAGAACAGAACTAGAACAGAACTAAAACAGAACTAAAACAGAACTAGAACAGAACGAGAACAGAACGAGAACAGAACTAGAACAGAACTAAAACAGAACTTGAATAGAACTTGAACAGAACTTGAACAGAACTAGAACAAAACTAGAACAGAACTTGAACAGAACTTGAACAGAACTAGAACAGAACTAGAACAGAACTAGAACAGAACTAGAACAGAACTAGAACAGAACTAGAACAGAACTAGAACAGAACTAGAACAGAACTAGAACAGAACTAGAACAGAACTAGAACAGAACTAGAACAGAACTAGAACAGAACTAGAACAGAACTAGAACAGAACTAGAACAGAACTAGAACAGAACTAGAACAGAACTAGAGCAGAACTAGAACAGAACTAGAACAAAACTAAAACAGAACTAGAACTGAACTAGAACTGAACTAGACTGAATTAGAACTGAACTAGAACTAGCCAGAATCATATTGTGAAAATTATAGTACTATAAGTCATTTAAAAAAGGTCAAATGAAGTTCTGAAGGCGAACCAATGGGGCCAATAGATAAATATAATCCGAATTCCACTAAACTTTAGAATATGGTTTATGGGTACATAATACTGATCTACGCTTCTATTTATTTTATATAGCTATGGGCATTTTAAAGGGAATTGAATGGAAATTTCAAAGAATTATCTTCCAAATTTGAATCTAATATTTGATTACAAGATCTACTTGGAGAAACGGAAGGACGAACATGCCTTACTTTTGGAATGAGTGTAGGACCATTTAAATGGAATTTACATTTTTATGAATTATCTTCGAAATTTGAATCTATAGTATGATTACAAGATCTACTTGCAGAGGCAGGGTAACAAGTTATGTAAAAATTTGATATCCGTAACTGATCTTCTCTGTAGCAATAGACAGAAGGACATATTTACACCGTTTGAGATGTTTATGAATACAAAAACTTTGGTACACCCAAATAAAGAAATCATATGGTGGATATAAAAATAAATGTAAATATGTAAAAAACTAGATAAATACAATTTTGAATTTGATCGTTGTTTTGAGTTTCTAAGAAAATTTTTAAAAAGTTCTAAATGTAGTAGGGACGTTAAGCTTTTGTGGACCTAAAAGCTTTTACAGCTATTGTAATTTACTATTTCCTAAAACGAAAATGCATGCAGATTTGAAATAAACTTAATTATAAAATTTGTACATTACATAAAATATCAAGCTTTCCTCTCCAAGCATCTGGGAAATTATGGCATTTTCCGAATTTCAAAATTCCAAGATTTCCAATTACTTTACATAGTTATATTATTACTGGTGGTCGTTATACTGAGCGCATGTTTTTGCGATATATGTTTACGCAAATCCGATTTATATTTACATTTATGCGGACAATAGGGACACGACAGACCTGGAGCTACACCACATTCATAGCTTTTGTGCCGTTTGAGAGAGCCCTTGATTTTATATGATTTACCACAGACATTGCAGACATATTGTAGACCAGCTGCTGCAATTTCTGAGGGTTTAAGAATACCTGTCTTAATACGTTTGGGTGGTGTTAGGAATTTTTCATTATCACTTTCGGAGGTGTCATGATGAGAAGAGGGTGGTGCTACCAGAAGATTCGAGTTATTGTTGGACGCCACGGTAACAGTGTGATTTGTTGATAAAGGTTTTAATTCGGTTAAATCTTCTAAATCATCAGCTTCGGAGGCGGAGGTGGTTACCGATTCTGCTAATAATTGTTCGTGCTGTTGATGTTGTTCCTGTTGTTGCTGAACATGTACCATCTGCTCCTGTTGTTGTTGTTGTTGATGATGATGCTGATGTTGTAGATGTTCCTTGGCCACAGTTTCATTTACTATTATGGTGGCCTGTGTTGCAGCTGTTGTTGTTGTGGGTGTTGTACTTATGGAGACCGTTTGATGCTGTTGCTGATGCTGCTGCTGTTGTTGTTCATATTGTACAACATTTCTAAGCAACATTTTATCCTCAAATCGTGATGTATCAATTTTTATATATTCCTGTTGAATTTGGGTGTTATTGTGGGTTTGACCACCCGTTACTGTTGCTGTTGTGGTTTGTTGTATATGCTGAGTGGGTGCATGATGATGTTGTTGCAATACATTCGAATTGGTGGCATCTAAACACTCCTGCAGTGTTATATGTTGTACCTGTTGATGCTGAACCTGCGTTGGTGCTTGAACATCGGGTATAATTGTTTCGGGAGTGTTAATACGTGTCGTATTAGAGGAGTGCTTAACAATTTGTATTGTTGTGGGAGGATTTGCAAGTTTAGTATAGGCGGCTGTTAGAGCTGTTGATGTTTGAACATTTCTCAAGATTTGCTGATGATCCGTTGCAGTTCCCTTGGGCAAAGTGTAGTGTATGGTACTGCCGGGCATGCCCACTGTATCGGATGGAATTTCTACTACAACTGTGGCCGAAGCTATAAGGCTTGAGGGATCTGTGGTGGTGGCAACATGTTGTTGATGTTGCTGCTGCTGTTGATGAGGATGTTGATGATGATGTTGTTGCTGCTGCTGTTGGGCCGGTTGTTGATGTTGCTGCTGTTGGTGATGATGATGTATATTGGTATTATTATGCTGCTGCACTTGATGATGTTGCTGATGACTATGAGCACTAATAACATTAGTGACCGCTGCTGTGCCACCACCATTTGTTTGACTATTCGCCAAAGTATAGGGTACAGTTTCTACTATAGTCCAATAACTTTCAGTGGAGGAGGAACCTAAAAAGATGTTAAAAAAATAAAAGTATAGTTTTATTTAATAATATAACATTATTCGCACACAATGCAACTCCTTAATGTTTATTAAAAAATTTTCCAATTTTGTTAAAGCTTACTTTTGTTTTTGTTTACGAGGTTTTTGAAATTTGCTTTTATGGTTAAGCAACAGCCAACAACAATTCAATATTAAATAGTAATAAAAACTAAAAGCAAATCGCATCTAAGAAGTATAATTTGTACAAATTAAAATTTTGTTTTTAACTTATAAACGTTTTTTCTTTAGTTTTATAAAAATCTATTATTGTTTTTAAAGTCTTTATTTAGAATAATTAAAATATACAAGAATTTTACATAAAAAAAATTTTCATTTAAAACTATTTTTATTACATTTTTTATTTATTATTATGTATTTAAAACTGTAGGTTTTTTTCATAGAGAGAAGAAAGTACATTTTATTATAGAAATATTAAATAATATTTTAAATATTAAAAAAAGTTAATAATATGTAAATGTTTTTATGTTAAAGTTTTATAAAAGATTTGTTTAAAGCTAAAAATTTGAAATTTAAGTTTGAAAATAATATTTGTTTAAAAAGTAATTATTATAAAATATTTATCAACAAAGATATTACTAATTATTTTTTGTTATTTATATCAAAAAAATTTTTTTTCCAAGAATTCCATTGATTTTGTACTTTAAAGTCGATTTAGAACTAAAAATTAAGTTTCGTTCTAAAAATCTGATTTTCTATCATAAATCTGTGTTTGTTTTAAAAATCTGATTTTGTACTAAACAACACGTTTTGTACTAAAATCAGATTTTTGTACTAAAAGGAAATTTTGTATAAAAAATCGAATTTGTACTAAAAATCGCATTTTATAACAAAAATCCCATTTAGCACAAAAATTCGCTTGTACGGTTTTGTACTAAAAATCTGATTTTGTGCTATAAATCTGATTTTGTTCTAAAAATCTGAATTTGAGCTAAAAATCTGATTTTATAATAAAAATCTGATTTTTTGTTCGAAATACGATTTTTGTACTAAAATGTAATTTTGTACTTAAAATCCGATTTTTGTACTTAAAATTTAATTAGAACTGAACTGGAACTAGAACTCAACTAGAACTAGAACAGAACTAGAACAGAACTAGAACAGAACTAGAACAGAACTAAAACAGAACTAGAACAGAACTAGAACAGAACTAGAACAGAACTAGAACCGAACTAGAACAGAACTAGAACAGAATTAGAACAGAACTAGAACAGAACTAAAACAGAACTAGAACAGAACTAGAACAGAACTAGAACCGAACTAGAACAGAACTAGAACAGAATTAGAACAGAACAGAACTAGAACAGAATTAGAACAGAACAGAATTAGAACTAGAACTAAAACTAAAACAGAACTAGAACAGAACTGAAACAGAACTGGAACAGAACTAGAACAGAACAGACTAGAACAGAACTAGAACAGAAGTGGAACAGAACTGGAACAGAACTAGAACAGAACTAGAACAAAACTAGAACAGAACTAGAACAGAACTAGAACAGAACTAGTACAGAACTAGAACAGAACTAGAACAGAACTAGAACAAGAACAGAACTAGAACAGAACTAGAACTGAACTAGAACTGAACTAGAACTGAACTAGAACTGAACTAGAACTGAACTAGAACTGAACTAGAACTGAACTAGAACTGAACTAGAACTGAACTAGAACTGAACTAGAACTGAACTAGAACTGAACTAGAACTGAACTAGAACTGAACTAGAACTGAACTAGAACTGAACTAGAACTGAACTAGAACTGAACTAGAACTGAAAGTGAACTGAGAACTGAACTAACTGCTAGAACAGAACTAGAACTGAACTAGAACTGAACTAGAACTAGAACCGAACTAGAACTGAACTAGAACTGAACTAGAACTAGAACTGAACTAGAACTGAACTAGAACTTAACTAGAACTGAACTAGAACTGAACTAGAACTGAACTGGAACTGAACTAGAACTGAACTAGAACTGAACTAGAACTGAACTAGAACTGAACTAGAACTGAACTAGAACTGAACTGAACTAGAACTGAACTAGAACTGAACTAGAACTGAACTAGAACTGAACTAGAACTGAACTAGAACTGAACTAGAACTGAACTAGAACAGAACTAGAACTGAACTAGAACTGAACTAGAACTGAACTAGAACTGAACTAGAACTGAACTAGAACTGAACTAGAACTGAACTAGAACTGAACTAGAACTGAACTAGAACTGAACTAGAACTGAACTAGAACTGAACTAGAACTGAACTAGAACTGAACTAGAACTGAACTAGAACTGAACTAGAAACTGAACTAGAAACTGAACTAGAACTGAACTAGAACTGAACTAGAACTGAACTAGAACTGAACTAGAACTGAACTAGAACTGAACTAGAACTGAACTAGAACTGAACTAGAACTGAACTAGAACAGAACTAGAACAGAACTAGAACTGAACTAGAACTGAACTAGAACTGAACTAGAACTGAACTAGAACTTGAACTAGAACTGAACTAGAACTGAACTAGAACTGAACTAGAACTGAACTAGAACTGAACTAGAACTGAACTAGAACTGAACTAGAACTGAACTAGAACTGAACTAGAACTGAACTAGAACTGAACTAGAACTGAACTAGAACTGAACTAGAACTGAACTAGAAGCTGAACTAGAACTGAACTAGAACTGAACTAGAACTGAACTAGAACTGAACTAGAACTGAACTAGAACTGAACTAGAACTGAACTAGAACTGAACTAGAACTGAACTAGAACTGAACTAGAACTGAACTAGAACTGAACTAGAACTGAACTAGAACTGAACTAGAACTGAACTAGAACTGAACTAGAACTGAACTAGAACTGAACTAGAACTGAACTAGAACTGAACTAGAACTGAACTAGAACTGAACTAGAACTGAACTAGAACTGAACTAGAATTGAACTAGAACTGAACTAGAACTGAACTAGAACTGAACTAGAACTGAACTAGAACTGAACTAGAACTAAACTAGAACTGAACTAGACCAGAATTTCAAAAATTCTATTATTATAAACATGCTGTAAAATAATTACATAAAAAAGTAATTAAATATGTAAAAAATTAATCTTTTCCGAAAAATTTATACTTTTAACTGTTAAAAACATTTACATATTATTTAATTAATATTTTAAATAAACAATTACACTAAATTTAAAATTTAATAAAAATAATAATTGAAAAAAAAAACACTTTTTAAAAGTTACGGGAAAGAATCGAAAGTTGGCATAGAAATGGCAGAAATAAAACATAACTTTTTACTACAAAAAATACAAATAGTAAAAATTCTTTAATTTTGTTTTTAAAAAAGAAAAATTTTCAAAATTTTATCATGTTCTTTAAAAATAAAATTAATTTAAAATTAAAACTAATAAAAAATTCCTTATATTATAATTCATTAAGTTAGATTTAGTTTTAATAATTATTATTAAATATTATAAAAAAAAAATTATTGTGTGATTTTATATATTGAGGTATTTTAATAAAAATTAATTTTTGTTTTAATTTTAAACAATTTTTTGTTTGTTGAACCCAGCCATAGTTTTTTTTTAATAATTTTAATTTAATTTGAAAAATGGCAAGATTTATTTCAAGTTTATTTTGTTTCTTGTTGTTTTTTTTTTGCTATAAAAGTTTTGCTTTTATATTTGTTAATAAGGGTTTGTTTTAAATTAACTAATTTTATATAAATTTAATTATAGTAGGAATGTTTTGTGTGTTTTTTTAATTTTAAGATCATGTTTTTTTATAAATATTACTTTTAAGAATAATATGTTTGTTTTCTTTAAGAATTTTTTAGTAATATTTAGATTCTTTTTTTTGTGCATTCTAGAGTCTTGTAAAGGAGGGATAAGTTAAGAGTTTTTAAAAACAAAGTTAATTTTGAAAGATTTACAATTTTTTTTAATTAAAACTTATTTGTTGAATGTAGATTTTGTAAAATTCCAGAAAATGATTCAAAAATTTTAAAATTTCTGCTGACAAAGTACTAAAACATATAGAGCCGGGTTTTAACCCGAGAAAATGTCTTTAGTTGCTATCAAAACAATGAATGTTTTATAAAAAAGAAGAAGACGGCATGCGGTCTCTGAATTAAAAAGTTGTTGATCTGTGTGATCAGTAATGTTGAATTTGAAAATAACACAGGCCGACAAAATTTCAAACTTTTGAATTGTTTTATATCATCCGTTGAAGTTGACGGACGGCAGACATCATTAAATCGAATCAGAAAGTAATATTGGAATCGAATCAGAAAGTAATTTGAAGCGTTAAGGTAAAAAGCTTACACAAGGCAAAGTATTTCATAAACAATTTGAAATATTTTTTGTTTTCTAAACAAGAGACAGTTTAAGTCCCCAGATCCTTGCAGATTTTCAGTTAATTTTCTTATGTTTTACAATCAAATTGTTGTTTAACCGGGAATAATTATAATATTGTAGATATCAATTGTGTATAATGTATAGGAAATGGATTATTGGATCTAAAAACTGTTGTTTTTTAATTCAAAACTTGGAAACACAATGTCAATTTGCGAAATAATTGGTAAAACATTAAAAAAAAAACAATAAATTACCATAAAAATTCTATTAAATTAATAAACTAAAACCATTTGATAAACAGAAAATAGAAAAATGTAAAAATGATCTTACTCTCTAGCCAAATATTTGGTCTTGGTTTTCAATTTAAATTAATTACTACATATTTACTCTCATACACTCTTATACGCTCCTTTTTAAGGTTCTAGTGTTATATGCTTTTTTTTCATCAGATTCTTACTCTCCATCCTCATCATAGTCATCATCATCTTCTTCACTTTCTTGTAGAACAGGAACTGCGGTTATAATCAAATCACGACTACCAAACTTAAAGCCCATCGATTGCATAGTAGAGGCAGCCGCAGACGGAATACCAACACTACTACTATGACCTTCAAAACCCATACTACCACCACTACTGCCTATACCCATCGAAACAGCCGGTATTAAATAGTCTTCATTTGGCCCCTCATAATCAACATCGGCCTCATAACTTCCCTCCTCTTCGGTGCGTATAACAAAAAGATTTTCTTCATCATCACGATATTGTTCATATAGATCGCTATGTTTACGTCTAGCATGTCTCAGTACATGATCTTTGCGCCGGGAACGATATTCACATGAAACACATTTGTATTTCTTTTCTTTGAGACAATATTTGCGTACATGTTCTTGGAGTTTTTGCACCGATTTATAGAAACGTTTACAATGTTTACATTGCATATAATCACCACGTTCCAATATGGAGGGACCTCCTGCTAAAGCATTTATTAGTATAGATTGTGTTGTTTGAGCACTTGTTGTCCCGGTATGCGGATTCAACGTGGCTTGATTATTGCCGCTGCTGTTATTGTTGTTATTATTAGCATTTGTGGCAGTATTGGTATTGGTGGTGGTTAGTATGGTGTTGTTATTGTTTAAATAACCATACGATTGCATGAGATCATTATTGGTATTATTTTGTGATGTTTCATTACTGTTATTCGTGTCGACACCCAAAAGACTACCCAATATGGGATAAATATCTGCCAATTTGTTGTTTTGTATTTGATTTTTAGCCAATTTTTATTATAATTTAATGGGCATTAAGTGGTTTTGTTTGGTGCATTATTATGTGGGAAAAAAAGAAATAAAGAATAAAAAGAAACAAAAATTAAAAATAAAATAATAATGTTTACTTAAAAAATAATGTTTAACTAAAGTGTTTTTAAAGAATAACTAAAAAATATAGTAAAACTAAATCTAGCTTTCAAATTTTGTTTAAATATTTAAAAAGCTGAATATGTGAGAAAGTATTTACTAATCGTTTTCAACTTAAAGCCAGTATTCAGGTTTAGTATATAGTCTAGTCAATATTATAGTTTTTAGTCTAGTCTATAGTCTAGTGTATAGTCTAGTCTATAGTCTAGTCTATAGTCTAGTGTATAGTCTAGTCTATAGTCTAGTCTATAGTCTAGTCTATAGTCTAGTCTATAGTCTAGTTTATAGTCTAGTCTATAGTCTAGTCTATAGTCTAGTCTAGAGTCTAGTCTATAGTCTTGTCTATAGTCTAGTCTAGAGTCTAGTCTATAGTCTAGTCTATAGTCTAGTCTATAGTCTAGTTTATAGTCTAGTCTATAGTCTAGTCTATAGTCTAGTCTATAGTCTAGTCTATAGTCTAGTCTATAGTCTGGTCTATAGTCTAGTCTATAGTCTAGTCTATAGTCTGGTCTATAGTCTAGTCTATAGTCTAGTCTATAGTCTAGTCTATAGTCTAGTCTATAGTCTAGTCTATAGTCTAGTCTATAGTCTAGTCTATAGTCTAGTCTATAGTCTAGTCTATAGTCTAGTCTATAGTCTAGTCTATAGTCTAGTCTATAGTCTAGTCTATAGTCTAGTCTATAGTCTAGTCTATAGTCTAGTCTATAGTCTAGTCTATAGTCTAGTCTATAGTCTAGTCTATAGTCTAGTCTATAGTCTAGTCTATAGTCTAGTCTATAGTCTAGTCTATAGTCTAGTCTATAGTCTAGTCTATAGTCTAGTCTATAGTCTAGTCTATAGTCTAGTCTATAGTCTAGTCTATAGTCTAGTCTATAGTCTAGTCTATAGTCTAGTCTATAGTCTAGTCTATAGTCTAGTCTATAGTCTAGTCTATAGTCTAGTCTATAGTCTAGTCTATAGTCTAGTCTATAGTCTAGTCTATAGTCTAGTCTATAGTCTAGTCCAGTATTCAGGTTAAGGTATAGTCTAGTCTATAGTCTAGTCTATAGTCTAGTCTATAGTCTAGTCTATAGTCTAGTCTATAGTCTAGTCTATAGTCTAGTCTATAGTCTAGTCTATAGTCTAGTCTATAGTCTAGTCTATAGTCTAGTCTATAGTCTAGTCTATAGTCTAGTCTATAGTCTAGTCTATAGTCTAGTCCAGTATTCAGGTTTAGTCTATAGTCTAGTCTATAGTCTAGTCTATAGTCTAGTCTATAGTCTAGTCTATTGTCTAGTCTATAGTCTAGTCTATAGTCTAGTCTATAGTCTAGTCTATAGTCTAGTCTATAGTCTAGTCTATAGTCTAGTCTATAGTCTAGCCTATAGTCTAGTCTATAGTCTAGTCTATTGTCTAGTCTTTCTAGTCTAGTCTAGTCTATAGTCTAGTCTATAGTCTAGTCTATAGTCTAGTCTATAGTCTAGTCTATAGTCTAGTCTATAGTCTAGTCTATAGTCTAGTCTATAGTCTAGTCTATAGTCTAGTCTATAGTCTAGTCTATAGTCTAGTCTTAGTCTAGTCTAAGTCTAGTCTATAGTCTAGTCTATAGTCTAGTCTATAGTCTAGTCTATAGTCTAGTCTATAGTCTAGTCTAGTCTAGTCTATAGTCTAGTCTATAGTCTAGTCTATAGTCTAGTCTATAGTCTAGTCTATAGTCTAGTCTATAGTCTAGCTATAGTCTAGTCTATAGTCTAGTCTAGTCTATAGTCTAGTCTAGTCTATAGTCTAGTCTAGTCTATAGTCTAGTCTATAGTCTAGTCTAGTCTATAGTCTAGTCTATAGTCTAGTCTATAGTCTAGTCTATAGTCTAGTCAGTCTATAGTCTAGTCTATAGTCTAGTCTATAGTCTAGTCTATAGTCTAGTCTATAGTCCAGTCTATAGTCTAGTCTATAGTCTAGTCTATAGTCTAGTCTATAGTCTAATCTATAGTCTAGTCTACAATCTAGTCTATAGTCTAGTCTATAGTCTAGTCTATAGTCTAGTCTATAGTCTAGTCTATAGTCTAGTCTACTAGTCTAGTCAGTCTAGTCTATAGTCTAGTCTATAGTCTAGTCTAATAGTCTAGTCTAGTCTTAGTCTTAGTCTAGTCTTAGTCTAGTCTATAGTCTAGTCTATAGTCTAGTCTATAGTCTAGTCTATAGTCTAGTCTATAGTTAGTCTATAGGTTAGTCTATAGTCTAGTCTATAGTCGTAGTCTAGTCTATAGTTGTCTAGTCTAGTCTATAGTCTAGTCTGTCTAGTCTATAGTCTAGTCTATAGTCTAGTCTATAGTCTAGTCTATAGTCTAGTCTATAGTCTAGTCTATATCCGTCTATAGTCTAGTCTATAGTCTAGTCTATAGTCTAATCTATAGTCTAGTCTATAGTCTAGTCTATAGTCTAGTCTATAGTCTAGTCTATAGTCTAGTCTATAGTCTAGTCTATAGTCTAGTCTATAGTCTAGTCTATAGGTCTAGTCTATAGTCTAGTCTATAGTCTAGTCTATAGTCTAGTCTATAGCTAGTCTATAGTCTAGTCTATAGTGTGGTCTATAGTATAATTTATAGTCTAGTCTATAGTCTTGTCCATAGTCATGAATATAGTGTTGTCTACAGTTTTATCTTTAGTCTATTCTACAGTCCAGCCCATTGTCTAGTATATAGTCTATCCATAGTCTTGTCTATAGTCTAGTGTAGACTATATCCTAGTTTATAGTCTTGTCCATAATCTTGAATATAGTATTGTATATAGTTTTGCCTATAGTGTTGTCTATAGTATATTCTATAGTCCAGTCTATTGTCTAGTTCTCAATATAGTCATTAATCTAGTCTGTTGTCTAGCCTATAGTCTAATCTATCTAGACTGGTTTATAGTCTAGTCTATTGTCTAATCTAGTCTATAGTTTAGTCTATGATCTAATCCATAGTCTAGTCTATGGTGTAGTCTACAGTCTAGTCTGTAGTCTAGCTATAGCCTTGTCTAGACACTAGTCTATATTTTACTCTATAGTATTATCTAGTCTATAGTCTAAAGGTGATTTCGTATTGTGGGAAAAAGCTATGTGAGATATGTATGTAACTTTCTAACATAATCAGCATTTTTGTAGCTAAACTAAAACTAAAATTATAATAAAACTTAAAATAACTAACAAAAACATATAGGAAACAGTTAATAATATACATATGTATGTAAATAACATAAATTGTATATATACATAAACATACATACATATAAATACATAATTAAAAAAAAAGACAATAACAAATAAGAAAAAAACTAAAGGATAATACCCACATTTATATGAAAATTATATTTGGATGATGTATAGAATTTTGATGAGAAATTTACAAATGTATGTTTGTTTTTGTTTTTGTTTGTAAGTATGATTCCATTAAGTCCCACAGTGTGTGCAGTGATCATGTTTTTTTTATACGTTTATTTTTGATGATGAAATGTTGTGAGGAGGATGGTCGAATGGTTGGATGGATGGATGATTAGATTAAATTTCTTTACATGTTCTAATAAAATTTAAGAAATTATAAAAAAATATTTGCAAATGAAATGTAATTTCCTCTAAATATATTTTAAAATGTTCAATATTCAAAATCTTTTATACAAATAGCTTATTATTTTGATGATTTATTCTATTTTTGGTTTTCTTTTACTCAAATAAATATTTTAATAAAAATCTTTCAATTTCGTTTATTCTATACAATAGAATAAATAACATGTCCTTTTGATTTTTTGTTATAAAAAATAATAATTATTAATTTCATATCCTCTATTTTTCATGTTATTATTGTAAAATTTCTTTTCCATTATGTGAACTGTCTGGTTTCACTCAATTTGTATGGTTTACCTAGAAGAAAAGAAACCCATATTAGTAAGGAAATAGTATTTTTAGATTTTAAATATAAATTTTTTATTTTTAAGGAATTTGATGAGACAAACAAAGTTTGTGATAGACTATACTTTAGACTAGACTATAGACTAGAATATGGACTAAACAGTAAACTAGATTTTAGCCTAGATGATAGATTAGACCATAGTCTAGACATTACACTAGACTATAGACTAAACTATAGAATATAGACTGGACCATAGACTATAATATAGACTAGTCTTTAGAATAGACCACAACATACATATACTATAGACTAGACTAATATGGACTAGACTATAGACTCTAATATAGAATAGACTTAAGACTATACTATAGACTATACATTAGACTAGACTATGGATTAGACTGTTGACTTGACTTCAAACTACACTATAGGCTATACTTTAGGCTAAAATATAGACTAGAATATAGTCTAGACTTTAGACTAAACTATAAAACATTCTAGAGACTAGACACTACTATATACTGGACTATAGACTAGAATTAAGGCTAGTCTATAGAATAGACTACAAACTACAAAGTTGACTAGACACTAATCATAGACTTGACTATAGACTACAAAATAGACTAGAGTATAAACTAGACTATAGAATAGCCAGATTATAGACTATTCATGTATACAGTCCAGGTAGGTCTTTTGTCTAGTATATAGCCTAGACTTTATATTAGATCAACTAGTCTAGTATATAGTCTACACTAGCTAATATTCTAATCTACAGTTTAGTCGACAGTTTATGGTCTTTAGTCTAGTTGAATGCCAAACTTTCTCCAAATGTTAAACAATTGATGTTAATGTGGACCAATATCAGCTCTTATTTCATTATATTAGTATATAGAACAAAATAGTTTTTTTTATGCCATTCTAAACGAATTTTCAATATCTCAATATCTTACTCATCCTTTTCATAGAATACACAATTTCAGGTTGTAGTTATCATTAATCATCATAAGATTTGTCATACAAAGCTGTAATAGAAAAAGAAACAAAGTATGTGGTTAAAGTTTTATTTTCAAAATATATAAAATATAGAATTGAACAATTTACCTTTTCTGCTCGAAATAATTACGCACATCTTTTCCTCAATCCAGTAATAACAGCAAACCTATAGCAATCCTTTAAAAAATTTGGGAGGAAAAACATTTTCATAATATATATATTTTTAAACAGAAAGCTGAACTTTAGAAAATTTTAGTTAAAAAAATCGACTTGACTATAGACTGTTCAAAAGTTCGATTACATAATGTTCTATAAGCTCAACTGGGGACTGGTCTTTAGTGTCAGATGTAGAATGTTCTATAGACTTGACTATAGACATAGTCTTGATTATAGACTGAATTATAGTCTTGATTATAGACTATACTATAGTCTTGATTATAGACTATACTATAGTCTTGATTATAGACTATACTATAGTCTTGACTATTGCCTCGTTTCAAAACTGTTCTATAGTTTCGACTACAGACTTGAATACAGACTATAGACTCGACTATAGGCGCTTTCATAGTCTCGACTATATGCGGTTTCATAGTCTCGACTATAGGCGGTTCCATAGTCTCGACTATAGACTGCCCTATAGTCTTGAGTTTTGTCTCTACTAAATACATAGTTACGTCTCGACTAGTTCAGTTCTAGTCCAGTTCAGTTCTAGTTCTAGTTCAGTTTTAGTTCGGTTCTACTTCTAGTTCAGTTCTATTTCAGTTCTAGTTCAGTTCTAGTTCAGTTCTAGTTCAGTTCTAGTTCAGTTCTAGTTCAGTTCTAGTTCAGTTCTAGTTCAGTTCTAGTTCAGTTCTAGTTCAGTTCTAGTTCAGTTCTAGTTCAGTTCTAGTTCAGTTCTAGTTCAGTTCTAGTTCAGTTCTAGTTCAGTTCTAGTTCAGTTCTAGTTCAGTTCTAGTTCAGTTCTAGTTCAGTTCTAGTTCAGTTCTAGTTCAGTTCTAGTTCAGTTCTAGTTCAGTTCTAGTTCAGTTCTAGTTCAGTTTTAGTTCAGTTCTAGTACAGTTCTAGTACAGTTTTAGTTCATTTCTAGTTCAGTTCTAGTTCAGTTCTAGTTCAGTTCTAGTTCAGTTCTAGTTCAGTTTTAGTTCAGTTCTAGTTTAATTCTAGTTCAGTTCTAGTTCAGTTCTAGTTTAATTCTAGTTCAGTTCTAGTTCATTTCTAGTTCAGTTCTAGTTCAGTTCTAGTTCAGTTTTAGTTCAGTTCTAGTTCAGTTCTAGTTCAGTTTTAGTTCAGTTCTAGTTCAGTTCTAGTTTTAGTTCAGTTCTAGTTCAGTTCTAGTTCAGTTCTAGTTCAGTTCTAGTTTAGTTTTAGTTCAGTTCTAGTTCAGTTCTAGTTCAGTTCTAGTTCAGTTCTAGTTCAGTTCTAGTTTTAGTTCAGTTCTAGTTCAGTTCTAGTTCAGTTCTAGTTCAGTTCTAGTTCAGTTCTAGTTCAGTTCTAGTTCAGTTCTAGTTCAGTTCTAGTTCAGTTCAGTTCTAGTTCAGTTCTAGTTCAGTTCTAGTTCAGTTCTAGTTCAGTTCTAGTTCAGTTCTAGTTCAGTTCTAGTTCAGTTCTAGTTCAGTTCTAGTTCAGTTCTAGTTCAGTTCTAGTTCAGTTCTAGTTCAGTTCTAGTTCAGTTCTAGTTCAGTTCAGTTCTAGTTCAGTTCTAGTTCAGTTCTAGTTCAGTTCTAGTTCAGTTCTAGTTCAGTTCTAGTTCAGTTCTAGTTCAGTTCTAGTTCAGTTTCTAGTTCAGTTCTAGTTCAGTTCTAGTTCAGTTCTAGTTCAGTTCTAGTTCAGTTCTAGTTCAGTTCTAGTTCAGTTCTAGTTCAGTTCTAGTTCAGTTCTAGTTCAGTTCTAGTTCAGTCCTAGTTCAGTTCTAGTTCAGTTCTAGTTCAGTTCTAGTTCAGTTCTACTTCAGTTCTAGTTCAGTTCTAGTTCAGTTCTAGTTCAGTTCTAGTTCAGTTCTAGTTCAGTTCTAGTTCAGTTCTAGTTCAGTTCTACTTCAGTTCTAGTTTAGTTCTACTTCAGTCTCGTTCAGTTCTACTTCATTCCTACTTCAGTTCCAATTTAGTTTTAGTTCAGTTTTGTTTATAATTATTTTTACAATAATTTAACTTTAATTTCAATTGAAAATCTCTATAAATATTTAAAATATGTATATTTATAATTTTATAAAATTTTGTACAATTTTTTTCTAAAATTAACTATATTATGAAAATGTTTTTCTTTCTTTTTTATAATTATTTCTGCTACTTCTTTTAAAATAAAAACAATTTTCTTATTTTTTTTTTTAGTTTTTTTTTAAGTATATATTTTTTGCTTTAGTTTTTCTTATAACAATTAAATAAGAGTTTTTTTTTTCTTAAATTTTTTTTCGTAGTTTTCTTTCACATATTTCTTTCGGTTTATTTTTTAATGTTTATTTTAAATCGTTACATTACAATATTATTTAATATTTATTTTAATATATAATTAATATATATTTTTTTACACAATTCATTAGGTTTTTTCCTTATATAATTACTATTAATTAGGGGGCGTTTTTTTTATTTATATATATAAAATATATGGTTTTTTTATTATTATTTTCTTTTGTTTGTGTTTTTTTCTTAAGGCGTTCATTTTTGTTTTAAGAATTATAAAAAGAAAATATGGTGAAAATTATTTTTAAAAAAAGAAAAGAAAATAATAATAATTACATTTAATATAATAACAATATTTTGCGCATTTTTTTTTTTTAAATAAGTTTTACATAAATATATATTTTTTTATAATTCATTTACTAATGTTGTGGGTTTTTTTAGGGTTTATATAACAATTTGTTGTGTTGTTTATTTATTTTTTTATAGATAAAACTTAACATTATAAATATATATTTTTATAATTATTTTTTTGTTTTTATAAATGTAACAATGCAAGCAAGTTTTAGTGAGTTTTGTTTTCTATTCAATTTTCATGTTTAACAAGTGTGTTTTGTTTAAATTATGTTTTAACAATAAGTGTTAAGTTAAAGGATTTTATTTTATTTTTATTTTTTTTTTTTGGAAAAAAAAAATATTTATTTTATTTTAATTAATTTTAAACATTTTTTATGCCTTTTTTTAACACTTATTGTTGTTGTTATGTAAATATATTTTTAAAAGCTGTTTTTTTAAAACTATTTTATTTTTTTTTTATAATTTTAAAGTTTTTACCCTTGTTGCTGTTGTTGTTTTTGTTGTATTATTATGTATATTTAAAAAAAATGACTAAAATTTACAAAATATGTTTTTATTTTGTTTTTTTATTATTTTTATAAATTTAAGTGTTTTACAAAAATATATTTTAATTTTATTTCTGTTTTTTTTTATTTAAAATTAAAATAGTTTTTTTTTTAATTATTTTATATATTAATGTTTAATGTGCTGTTTTAAAGGCATTTTTTTGTTGTTGGTTTTATTAATTATTAATGAAACTTTATTTTGTTTTATTTAAAATTTATTTTTTTTATTTAATGTTGTGCTTTTTTTTTAATGAAAAGTGTTGTTGTTATGTTAAATTTTATTATTTATTTTCTTTTTTTATTAAAAATATATTTAAACTTATATTATTTAGTGTTTTAACCAAAATTTAAAAAAAAAAGAAAATATTTAAAATATATTATTAATTTGTGTTTTGCATAATTTTGTTTTATCTAACAATCACAAAAAATAATCACATCAATATATGTTTTTATTACTTTTATAATTTGTTTTTGTTTTTTTATATATATATTTAGTTTTTATTTTTATTTATTTCACAGCTCTTTTGTTTAAAACAAAATCATTTCATTTAATAATATTTTATTATAATTATTATTATTTTGTGTGTATGTGTGTGTTTTTTTTTTTTTTTAAGGGAGAGTGTGGGTTTGGTGTAAAGTGTGAAATTTGATTTTTTATTATTATTATTTTTTAATTATTTGAATTATTATTTTTACATTTTAATATTTGAAAGTA